CCGAGTGGAGAGGCAAGGCACCCCCCCCCGACGAGGGGCGAGGGACCCAAGCTCCGTCTCAGCCGCAGCAGAGACTAGAAGAGGTGGCTGCCACACGAGCAGGAAGAGGTCGGCGGAGGTGTGGGTCAGACAGCAGTCAGCCGGGACCCCGGACACGGGGGATGCGCCCTCATGCCAGCTCCCTCCTGCCAGCGGAGACTGCTGAGCGCCGCCACAGGCAGCCCAGGTGCAGGCCGGCTGCCTCTGGGGGCCAGGTGGGAAACCCCACGCCTTTCCCTGCAGCCTGCTCTCAATCTGAGCCCAAAGCCCTGAAGCCACTATGGGGGGGACAAGATTGCTCCTGCTCCCAGAGCCCAACAAAACCCCAAGTTTCCAGGGATGAGGCAGAGGCCTCTCCTGCCTCTGGGGGAGGAGGAGAACATCTTCCTAGGACATCTTCCTACAGGCAGAGATGCCCTGCTTCTCGGGAAAGGTAAAAGCGAAACCCCTGTGACCCTCAGGACGGGGCAGGAAGCCTTCCTGGGCTGGGGATCCCGCACCAGGACAAAACAGGGTCAGCCGCTGCTGGGGAAGGAAGGGGCAGGGACACTGAGAAGGCCCCCGAAGACCCTGTGTCTGGAGCCACGGCTGGACCAGAAATGGGCAGAATCCTGCCCACGCCCACCGCAAACCCACCACCAGCCCTGCAGCCTCCCCCGGGGAAGGAGTGGTCAACGGAGCAGGGAGACCACTCTGTGCCACAGGAGAAGTGGGACCCCTCCAGGCCCCACTTGAGGTTAAGGGCAGCAGCAGACCTTCCCCGGGAGAACCGGATGCCTGCAGTGCAGCGGCAAACCCAAGCCCAGCTCCGCTGCTGTTGAGCTCATCCCGCGGCCCCGCAGTGCTCTGACGGATGCAGTAACGGGCCCACTTCTAGTCCAGTGTCTGAACACCATATCTAACATTCGGTCAAAAATCACAAACCAAAAAAAAAAAGCAGGGAACAAAACCCGCTGTCAAGGTGATCATCGGAACCAGGCTCAGATACGACCCAGATGTTGGAACTATCAGACAGGAACTTGAAAACAACTATGCTTAACGTACTAAAGGATTTAGTAAAAACAAATAAAGTAAAATAAAACAAAATAAAACAAAGAACAACATTCGTGAACCAAATGGAACTTTCGGCAGAGACACAGAAACTTTATCAGAAGCCACATCAAATGGGAAACCTGGGAAAAACTAAAGAACAAGAACCCAAAAGGCTGTGGCACCGGAGAAGACTTCAGCAAAGGCAGCAGGCCCATCAGCGCCCTGGGCAGAGCTGAGGGCGCACAGGTGGACCCGACGACGGGGCAGTGAGAGAAATCACCCAAACAAACGGCCAGAGTCAGACAGACAAAGTGAGCGGCCGCGAGCTGTGGCCAGCCTCAAAGTCAAGGCACGCCACTCGAGGTCCGCGAGGACAGGAACTGGGGCAGAACAAGTACCTGAAGAGACGAGGGACAAGAAGTGTTGAACATTACTGGAAAACACCAAACCAGATACCTGGGAAGGGCAGAGAAGCCGAAGCCAGGTGAGCAGCAGCCCCTGCCGACACCCGGCCCGCCAGCATCAGCGAGTCTGGAGAAACCGCTGTTTTCCAGGACGAGGGGGTCGGCACCAGGGGGAAAGGGGGCGCTCCCAGTGGTGCAGGGGAAGAAGGGAGTTGGGGAGGACCAGTGACCCTGGAAACGCTCTGGGCAGTTCTCCAATGCCTCCCAGCCTAGAGGACGGGCCTCCTCACACACCCCTCAGCTTCTCAAACTGGAGCCATCAACTGGATCTCCTACCGGACGATATCCTTCACGTTATAACCAAAATGCAAGCTACACTGTGGAGAGGTTTTAGATGTGTTATTCCATGTACGGAGGTGACTTTCGGACGCATGGCTGTGGCACGACAGTGGCTCGCTGCTGAGGCACAGGACAGGCAGGGGACATGGGTGTGTACCCGTGTGACAGAGGAAAAGAGTACTTAGTTAGTAGTGGACCCTGTTCTCAAATGGTATTTGCTGAATCAATTTAAAAACAAACAGAATGTACATTGCCTGTATTCCAATTTTCAACAAAAAATATTAAAAAAAAGATAAAAATGAACAGGAAAATCCAATACAAACAGATAAAAGATATAAGTGGAAGCAGTGAAGTCCCCGACCCCACTCCGGCAGGCACGCCCCTGCGCAGGGAGCGCGGGCAAGGCCCTCAGGACCCGGCGTTCATGCAGCACGCCTCTCAGGGAGGACCTGGACTGGACGGCAGAAAGGGGGGACTGCCGGCACCTCTCGAGCTGAAGGAAGCAACCACGCAAGATCCTCTGCAGGACTGCCACCCGCGGGGAATGAGACCCTTTAGATTTTGACAAGAGCCCTTAAATCAACTTACCTTTGAGATAAATTCCGTCACTTCAGAGGAAGATTTGGTTACTGATGTTACTGAAGAATCAGACCACAAGACCTTAAAAACAAATAAACAAACAAGCCTTAAAAACAGACACCACCACATACTTAGTGCACAGCAGCCCTGTCCAGGTGTTGGCGGCTGGTACAGGTGCAGCAGCATGACAAGCCCTCCTGCCCTGTGAGTGGACTGCTCATGTACCTTTGACCTGCTACCAAGACTGTTCACGGAGCTCAAGTCCACCGAAGCTTGACTTCCTAGTCTGTGCAATTATTCAAATATCCCTGACTTACTCAAGCATGGGGTCTAAGGCTTCCTTCTCAAAGTTCTACAAAGGCACTGATGATCTCAAAGGCGTGTGTGAACCAGGACACCTCATCTCAGGCGGACCTCCTCTCCTGAGGTCAGTCTACGTGACTCTCTGGGTGCGGAATCAAGAACCTGTCAGGAACGAGCTCACTTCTCCCCACAGGAAGTGCTCACTACACGCTGGGTGCTAGGGGCGCTCGGTGAGATGGAGCAAGGGCCCTGCCCTCGGGCATCTGACAGAACTGGGGGTAGCGTGGGGGTGAACCAGGAGCCACAGGCCAGGGCGGTCAGCACCAGAAGGGCAGAGAAAACCTTCCATCACAAGGTGGCGAGGGAAGAATCCGGGGGGGCTCACAGAGAGGTCTCTCTGGAAGAGCTTCTGCAGAGCCCGGGATGTCTGCTTTCCCTTGCCTGCACCTCTGACAGCGAGTGGCTTTATTCCATGACTCCACAAAGTCCGTCTTCCCAAAGGGACTGCAAGCTCCCTGGGGTGCTGGCCCTTCCTCCTCGGGCTTCCCAGCACTTACCACAATGTTCACTACCAGGACGAGGGAGAAGGGAGTGAGCACGGGGCCTGTCACAGGGCTGTCCTGCTCTGAGGAGGGCACGAGCTGAACTCAGGAGAGCGAGACAGACAGGGGACGGGGTGGGAGGGGGGCAGGGCCCAGAACAAGGACGGTTAAACTATGAAAGAGGATCTTTTGCCTAAAATCTACAAGAAGCCACTGGAGGATTTCAAGTCAGGAAACAACATGACCACTATACTTTATTACCAAAAGGAAAGCATTATATTTGCACTGATTTAGAGAAAACAGAGCTTGGAGATATCAAATAACTCTCCTGCCCCCTTCACCCACCCTCACCTACTGAGAAGCAGCGCAGCGTGTTTGCTGACCGTCTCCCTGGGCCCGAGGGGCTGGCCGACTCTCCTGTCTGCTGAAATTCAGAGTCCCTTTCTCTTCCGGTAGCTGTCACACCACGAAACAATGACTAAGGTGTCAGTTTCATCAAGCTCCGGTAAAATACAAGCCAGGCAAGGAAAAGGACCTCCCTTCTTCATCTCCGAATTCCCAGCGCCTCCCAGAATTCACCAAGGCAAGTGCTGGCGTTCCTTGAATGAGCGTGCTGTGCCATCCAAGCTCTACCTACGCTAAAACGAAAATACCTAAACCATCTTTTTCTGTCTGAAGTAATCAAATCTTATAATAACACTAAAAAGAAGTTTGGGGGAGAGTGAGCTGCTACCCACATAAAGCGCCGGTAATACCCATGATTAAAGGTGAGAACTCTCTAACATTAGATGCATGACTCGAAGCACCGCTGACGACGTGTGTTTTCCAAAGTAAAATGCGCTGCATTCACATCACATGAATGCATCCTCACCCAGCTAAAAATGAAATCCAACACCCAAACAGTGAGTGCAGTGTGGACAGACCATTCTGCGCTGCAACAGTCAATCTGCTTCCCTGACAGCTGTGTATTTAAACAGGTACAAATACTCCAGGTTGTCTACTCCTGATACATTTTTCTTTCACTTCCAAGTGGACCTAACGCTTCAGCCAAGGGCAGAGAGAAAGCAAGGACTGGACAGCAGGGGTCCACTTCCAAGCTGAATTCAGCACCACTACCCTCCACAGCTGCTGCGGGTTTATTTCACCCACCCGCCTGCGCCAGGGGAGGGGACAGGCCCCAGGAGGGCATGGCTATGGGAGAACAGCCTCATGTCACGCCAGGGGCCAGGGGCACGTGTTCCGTCAAGCCTAAGATGGCAGCAAGCACACACGTCCCCACTGTCTTCTGCACCAAGAAGAAGCACTGCTAACCAAAGGATGGCAGGTATTTCTCCCTCACCTGTGCGTCCTCAAAGAGCCGCTGAGGCTCGCTGAGACAGGTCTCAGCCTGTCTCAAACGTACACAAGAAAGCAAAATACACACAAAACAGGTAAGTCACACTCAGGATTTCTTCACACTGCCAGCCTGATTCCTCTGACTCACTTCCCAACTCAGTCTCAGCACCCACTGTCTGAGCACAAGAAGCGGAGCTCCCTGCACTCGCACAGGAGACAGCTTGGGCAAGGCTCCTGCCCACCGCTCATGCTGCGCCCAGAAAGTGAGCAGGTGGCCCAGCGCCACCAGACCCGCCACCAGGCCACTGAGGAGCTCTGAAGCAGAACACGAAGACAGGCGAGCAGTCACACAGAACAAGACCAGGGGCAGAAAAGGAAACTTAAAAAAAAACAAAACCTCAAAACTATCACTAATAGTCTCTGAATTAAGAGAAGCAAGCATAGCCAAGAACAGGATGCTATGAAAAAAGAATGGTCAGTGAACAAGAGTCCTTCGTAACTGAAAATGGGACAGAAGTGGAAAATTTAGTTCAAGAGAATTTAGTCAAGAGATGGAAGATGAGAAAATCTTCCATAGGGTAGATCAAAAAAAAAATCAAAGGAAAAGAAAATAGAGGGGGAAAAAAAACAAAACCAAAGGACAAGCTCCTAAGGAAGCATGACGCCCATCCAGAACTGTACTCTCAGGCACATGTCATTTCCAAACAGGCACAGGCACAGAAACTGTACCTCCCCGGTACTCCTTCTAAGAAACTACGAGAGCAGACACTAGCCCAAGACAACAGATGACTGGGGCCCGAGGAGGGGGACCCCGCAGCCCTACAGGAGAGGCCACCCCAGGCTGAAGCCCGTCAAGCCCAGGTCAAGCCCAGCAGGGCCACAGCTCCAAAGGGGAGACCAGCCGAAAACAATCAGGGCAACTTTAGGACTGAAGTTGTGTTATAGGTACTTTTCCCCAAGCAACAAATAACCAGACAAGAAGAGGGAACTGCAGGTAAAACAAAGGACCAGAAAGGAAAAGCACTAAGCACAGGCCATACGGCTCCAGTACCTACAGTCTTCACACAGTCAGGCTGCGTATCACACAGCCACTGAGGGAGGTACCAAAAGGAGTGGTGCCTCGTGCTCCTGGTGCCGTGTGCAGGATTAACGGGCTCTCTGCACGCACAGAGGGGATGAGAACAAAAACAAATTAAAAAACAGTTGCCAAAACTCATCCTTAGCTAACAGTGCTAAAATACTCAGAGCAGTTAAGATTGTTTTGAGATGAAAAAGCAAACTTTTAAAGAAAAGATACAGCACTAAAATGTAACGTCTGGGTTCTTGATGAAGAATAGCGTAAAAAGGGTGGGTTTTTAAAAGTCATTATTAGATGCTGCTCCACAGTTCTTTCAGAGTCAGTAAACACTCCAGTCTGCTGGGCATTTCGAAGGTCTCAGTAAATCTCTCCATGTTTTTCCCCTCCCTGTCCTTCATGTGTAATAAATATTTTTTTTAAGTAAGTTTTGTGTGTGTGTTTGGAATTCTCTTTCTTTGTCGGAGTACAGTCAGTTACAACGTGTCAACTTCTGGTGTACAGCATTACAGAAGTTTTTTTTTAAACCTTAGTTATTCAACAGTGAATAACTAAACAGTGAATTTGGGAAAAGCTGGTAAAATCTGGACATTTCCCATGTACACAGATACAAGCTGATTTTACAATTTAAAAGATTCTGTCATCTGCTTCCTGTATACTGATTTGATTTCCTCAATAACTAGTAACTAGCAATTACACTTCAGCAAAAACAAAATCAACTCCATGAAAAAGAACAGGAAACTCAAACTTATGTCTTCCTGTAAAATAGTAACCTTTCATTTGTATCCTGGAAAAGAATGATATGTTACAAAAGTTAAAACGAGAGATAAACAAGGCTGAGAAAACGGGGTCGGGGGACGGGCTCACTGACTTCTCCCTGAATTAGTGAAAGCTGTCGGAGAGGACTGTCTCTCGAGCCTTCGTACTATTAGCAACAGACTGCTGCACCTCACTGCGGCAGGACAGACACTCCTCACGGTTCTTTGCTGTTCTGGTCACAGTACAATGCTATTTATTTCCATGTTTAAAAGACAACCTATCTAAAGGACAATTTATTTAGCCTCGTTATTTAGGGCTCTATAGACAAAAATAAAGGTTTAATTCTCAGTAATCGAAAAAAAAAGCTTTAGGGGGCAGGGTATAGCTCAGTGGTAGAGAGCATGCTTGGCATGCACAAAAGGTCCTGGGTTCAATCCCCAGTACCTCCATTAAAAAAACAAACAAACCTAATTACTACCCTCCACAAAAAACCAAACAAAAGACGTTTTGAGTTACAACTGACAATGACATGCATGTATTTAAAGCATAGAATCTAATCAGTTCTGACATGTATACATCCATCAAACCATCACGCTCACTGATCAATATAACGAACATAACACCACCCTCAAAGTTTCCTCCTGTCCTTTCCCAGGGAGCTGCTGATCTGCTGTCACTGAAGATTAGTTTGCATTTAAAAAATTTATATAAATAAGCCCATACAATATAAACTCTGTTTTTGTGGGGTTGGGGTTCTGGTTTCTTTCACACAGCACAATTACTGAGTTTCAGCCATCAGTAATTCACTCCCCTTTACTCTGAACGCCCCACTGTATGGACATGATACCACAGTTTACGTATCGATTCTCTTGGTAACGAATATCTGGGGTGTTACAAACAAAGCTGTTATAAACATTCATGTACAAATCTGTGTGTGAACATACGCTTTGGTTTCCTTTGGGCATTTACCTAGGAGCAGAACTGAGGAGTCACATTTTAGGGACATGTTTAACGCTTTTAAAACCTGCCAAACTGTTTTCCCAAGTAGTGCCACCATTTCACCCTCCCACTGGCAGTGTGGGAGACTCCCGGTCCCGCCACGTGTCTGCCAGCGGCTGGTGGGTGGTTTCTTGTTGATTTCAGCCACTCTGACAGGCACAGAGAATTGTCTCACTGTGGATTTACTCGGTGTTTTCTTAATGACTAATGACACTGAACACCTGCTCACATGTGCGGCCTGCCATCCATACATCCTCCTTGGTAAAATGTTCAAATCCGCAGCCTATTATCATTGGGTTATAGTGTCATCACCGAGTTCTGAGAGTCCTTTTAATAGTCTGAATACAAATCCTTTATCAGACATGCACTTTACAAGTATTTTGCTCCTAGTTCTGTGGCTTGTCTTTTCATTTTATCCACGGTGCCTTTCAAAGAGCAAGTTTTAAATTCTGATGAAGTCTAATTCATTCATTTTATCTTTTATGAATCATGTTTTTGGTATTTTATCTAAGAAATATTTTTCTGTTTAAGTCACAAAGTTTTCTCCTATGCTTTCTTCTAGAAGTTTTATAGTTTTAGGTTTTACACTTAGGTCTGTGATCAATTTTGAGTTAATTTCTGTATAAGGCGTGAGGTTTGATTGATCAAGGTTCATTTTTTTCATATGGTTGTCTGCTCCAGGACCATCTGTTGAAAAGACCGTCCTTTCTTCACTGAACTGCCTTTGTACCTTTGTCAATAATCAATTGACCAGGATGGTGCGGCATGCGGGGCTCTTAGCCTGAAGCAGACGAAGCCTGGCCCAAGGGACAACACCATCACCACCGCTGGCCCCCGAGCCCCCAGGGGCCACCCGAGCACAAAGCAACAGGCAGCAGGAGCCTGAGCTGCTGCTGGCGCTGGCGCCAGAGCTGACCAGCTGGTCCTGAAATCCACGTGCAGGTTGCCCAGGAGAGCCAGGACAACACTGACAAAGAAGAACAGACCTCAGAGGATTCACACTCCCTAACTTACAGTCTGCCCTACAGCTGCAGTGCTCAAGACAGCGTGGCACTGGCAGAGCACCTCCACAGGTCAATGGACGTGAGCGTCCAGAAGTAACCCACACGGTTACGGTCAAGCGATTCTCAACAAAGGTGTGAAGACGCCTGCCCACCAGTTCTGCCTCTTTCCAGAACTGTAGTTCTGACCCCAGCAAGCTACAGTGGCTGCGGGTAAACTCCAGGAGCCATCAAACCACACGGCAGCTCATTTTTCTGCTGTGACAGGAGTCCGGAACCCAGGCACATGCATACTGCGCACCAGGCCCCTACAAGCAGCCACTTGTTTGCCAGTAGGAGAGTACAACTCACCTGCACAGAACAAGCACACAGTTTAAGCTGTGCAAATGAACAATGCGCTTTAGAAATAAGAAAACAGATTTTTTTAATGCTGATATTATCTTTCTTTTGTGCCTCAAATTACCATCCAACAAATGCAGTTTGGCTATAAACTCCTTAGGGCAGATCAAGTTAGTGCCCTAAAAGGAAACCTAGTTGCACTGCTGGCTAGTGAAGGATTATTACTTTCCTAAACACAAGGATTTTTTAAATCAGTTATCACATCAGGAAAAGTAAGCTTTTCAGATAATCGAAGCTTCTTCCTTAACTGCTAATAAGGCGCTTCATTCCGCTCAGCCATGTGAGGGGTCAGAAACGTCCTGTGCTGCAGGCTGGCCTCATGTGACAGTTACCTCCGTGCTGTGACTGGCCCGCAGGCTCCAGGCCCGCTCTGGGATCATCTAGTTTCTCTTCTGAAGACCCAGGATGTCCCCACCCGGCCAGGCTGCTGCCTCCCATCCTGGTCCCAAGCTCCTCCTCCAGGGAGAGGCCGTGCGAGACCACGTGTCTCCTCTGCCAGAGCTCACTTCTCTACAGAGAGGCTGCCCAGCAGCCACCTGTGCGCAGCCTCCGCAGCTCAGGCTGGACAAGCCCATCTCCCTCACCCCAGGTGATGGGGCCGAGGACCAGGGCGAATCCCAGCCCAGCACGATCAGGCAGCCTGAGAGTGGGGTGTCGGCCCTAGAGGGCCTGTGCTCAGCAGTCCCCAAACAGGCAGCCCGTCTGCAGGGGGACCACGCCCCGCCTCAGCCCCGCAGGGGACACCTGACAGCCAGAGGCAGCCTGAGGAGGGAGGAGAAAACGTGCCCAGGGCTTCGGGGACTCGCTGGGCTCTCCAACCTCTACCAGGCCTGGAAGCCTCTAGGCGCTGATACCTGGGCGCCAGTCACACGCTTTAACAACCTCCAAGACGGAAGGGAAGTCTTTCCTGTACTTTTAAAAAAGTCACATCTGTGGCATAGCGACTGACTGGCACGATGTAGCACCTCCCAAATCAAACGAAGATTTTATCCCTGTAGTAGTGAAAGTATTTAGAGGACTTTGACACTGCTGCACTCTGAAAAGTTAGTGAACTGCAGGCAGCACACACACTAAATACTAACCAGAAACCGTCATTCCTGAGAAAAGTCTCCAGTAATGCTGGAAGCAGATCTTCCTCATCAGTTGGTTCCCAATGATGCAAGTGGTCAAAGGAGGACCTCGCACAATGTGACGGGTGAGTAACAACTCTGGGGACACAGCCGGCCAGAATACTTCTTCCACAGCTAAGCGGGACCATGAAACTAACTCTGACCAATAAAACATGAGCGTAAATGTCTAGTGGCTGTTTTTCAGGAATATTCCTTTAAAGATAAAAGTAACCTTTCACCCTTCTCTTCATCCAGTGTCTTAGAATGTTGCATGGAATGAAAATGTGAGGACTGGATCCCTAGCTGCCATCCTGGACCGCGAGGCTAAAGGCCACCTCCCGGGGCTGTCAAAGCAGCAGGTATAGGGAGCTGGGACCCCTGCGGGCGCGACAAAGCACAGCTGCCACACCCAGCCCCAGGCTCCTCCTTGTGTAGTCTGTCCTCCTTTCAGCCACTGTGTCATAGGGTCTCTAACCCCAACACACTGTGTGTCTCAATTTTGACAATCCTCCACTGTGGCCGACCTTGGTGACCAATCACCAGCAGCTGAGTGTGTCAGTCTCAAGAACATTCCCCACGCAGACCAAGGAGTCCTGCTGTCCACTGGGTACAGAAGAGCCCATCTCTGCAGGCATTTACTGAGTCCAGACCCCATACTGAGTGCCTTGAATGGGCTGTCTCATTTAATTCTCTCCCAAATCCCACCCTCTTCAACTGCGTGGAGGTGCGGGGCACAGAGAAGTTCAGCCCTGTCCTTGGCCACACAGCCAACAGGGACAGAACTGGACTGTTGACTCCAGGCTGGCTGAAGCCTGCCCCCCCGCCTCCCCCCGGCCCCCGTGCAGGCTGCAGTCCCACAGGCCAGACGCCTGACAAGCCCACCGTGGAGATGGTCCAGCCCCTACTTCCACCTCCCACAGCACTGGCACAGTGCTTTGCAAAAAGACCCGTTTTTTATTTAGATAAACAAAAGTATCTATTCGTGGAAAAAGTTTCTTTCCTATCCCTTAAAGGAGCAAAGGGGAAAAAAAAACTTAGTGTCTTACCTCAAAGGAACATTCAACATTTCTTTCATTTTTTTTGTGTGATAATCCCTTCAGGTCTATCTTTTCAACACTCACTGTAAAAGCAAACAAAACAAAACAAAACAAACAACAAACAAAATTATAAAAATGAAATGAAAGCTTGAAGTACGCGTGATTAGTCTGCATCAATACATCATCAGCGTTTGGGCGACTCCCGCACCCAGTGCCGCGTTCTCTGCGCTCAGGAAGGGAGGGGAATTTAACAGTTGAACAGAAAAACCAGGCAAAACTCCCAAATTATAGAAAAGAAAGAGAATGGTGCTTGAAAAGAGAACATACGCTTATCTGAACGCGCGTGAGCACAGACCATGATCACCACTGAAGACCAGTTATGATCTGCTCTAATTTCTGTTTCAGAAAGCGAACGCGCAACATTTTCAACTGTGACCGTTTTAGTCCCAGCGGCCCAGGGTCTCTCATGGAATCTTCTCAGCTCTCCCTGGGGACAGGGCCAGGCTGGAGGTAATGAGGACAGCGGCTGTGGAAGAGACACCGCCCGTCCCCCGGCTGCCCCTGCAGGCAGGACAGGGCAGAGGCACATGGTGACCAGGAAAGCCCCCGCATCCGCACCGCCAGAGCCCCGGGGCCGTCTGCCTCCCCACACCTTTTCACACATCCCTGCATCTTTTTCTCCTCAGAAAGAAAATGATACAATGATGTCTTCAAGTGCTTAAGTTTGAAGATGCAAATTAAGTCTGTAAGATGCAAATATCTGAGCACAAATATCTGCTGAAAATACAACGTGATGCAGTCTCCAAACTCCCCAGCCACGTTAAGGCATGTGTGTCCTATTTCTGATTCAAACACTAATGTTCCTAAAGTACTAGTTGAACGAATTTTTCAAGCTTATGGGTTTCTGTCAGGCACAGACAGTCCAACAGCCCAGCTCTCCTGGAAAACTCAGAAAAACCCTGGCGACCAAGGGAGATTCTACCCCACGACCAGCACACACACCTTCCTGAGCTACTTCTTCCCAGGGCTTCTACAGGCTGCCTGGCTGTGGGGAGTCCCATAGGTCTTCAAAAGGTTACTGTCTAATTCGACAAACTGGACATAACTCCTCCAAACTACTACGTTACACGTCGTGCAGACGTCCCACCTCCTGGTGGCTGTACCACCCAGTCTTCTCCAAGGAGCATCATTCTGTAGGATGTTCAGGGCCACCTTCAGCAAGTTTTGTGGTCAAAAGTTTGAGGAAAAATCTGAGAAATTCCTTTTTCTAGACCACACGTGTATATATTAGCATATTAAAGGCTCTGAGAAGTCCTGCAACAAATAAATCTATTTTTATTAACCACAATTCCCAATTTCTTTGGCCACAGAACTCTTTCCTCCCTTAATGTGTCTGAGCAGAGACAAGAACAAAAGAGAACAAGCAGCTCTGTGCACCAGGCCTGAAGGAAGGTTCTAACACTGCACTGCCCACCACTGCAGCCAATGACCAAACGGGACCATTTAAATTGGTATTAATTACAATTGAATAAAATTAAAAATCTAATTCCTTGGTCGCACTAACCACATTTTAAGTGCTTGGCAGCCACACATGGCTAGTGGCTACCGCACTGCAGAGCACAGACAGACCCGTGGGTGGGCAGGGAGTTCTACTGCACGGCGCTGCTCGAAGCCAGGCACGGGCAGACCGACCACAGGCGGCCTCTGTGTCACAGTGCTCAGCCCCACCGTGGCTCTGTGCGTCCGTGGCTGCGCTCTGCCCCTCGCCAGCAGAGCCCATGGTGGGGCCAAGTCAACGTTCACCTCCCACGTACGGACATACTGACTGTCGGGATCTTTGCAGGAAAACACGTGCCAGTCCCTGCTCTAACCAACAACTGCTGTGCTGTGCCCTGGGCCGCACTCCAGCTTCCTCGCTCACAGAGGCTATGGGCTGCCAGGGAAAAGACCTTCCACGCCCTGAACTTTCCTCTCTAATTTTGTAAAGTTGCGCCAGGTTGACATGCATCTTGGGAGACACTAGAACCCATTCGGCTTAGAGTATTTTAAGTTTAAAATAGCACATTACAGGAAGAAATTACTCTAAAAAAAAAGTTTGCTTCCTTTCTGGCAAAACAAAGAACACGCTCCATTCAGAAGCTGTGCACCTCCGTATTTCCCTCAGTGAATCCACTCACAGTCCTGCCTGACTTCCTCCGTCAGACTGTCAGCAAATAAACAGCTTTTATGTTTTTCCCAACCAGTATTTTAAAAAACTTACCCACAATGACCTCACAGATCTTTTACTTTTTTAAACAACAGAATAAACCCAAGTCAATGAATACAGAAAAATGTACTCGGCGTTTTCTGGGCCACACACCAAAGTGCACCTAAAAGTTCCAGGACTGAACATTAGGACTTATGAAAAAACAGTAAAAAGAAAAAACTCCAATTGGACTGAGAGCGGGAAGTGACTCGTACTTGGACAGGAAAATGTGAGAAGCAGATGAGTGTTACTCAGCTGTTTTCAAACAGACGTTCCGGACCGCAGGACTGAGACGGCTGTGAGACCTCTTCTAGGCCGCCAGACCTCCGGAGCGGGGTCGTGTCAGGGCCTCGCCACCGCAGGCTCCGGGCCTCCCCGCACCAGGCCGGCTTGGACCCCATCCCCAGTCTTCCCCTAGGGACCACCCTCCCTGACAGCATTGCCGGGGTCACGCAGGGCTCTCAGGACAGAGGATGGCCTGCTGGCGGGTGGCGTTTGATGAGGCTTAAAAGATGTTTAAGCACGCTCTCAATTGTGAAGCTATTAAAGACCACACTTATAAAAATAGAAACATGAAAAAATGTTTGTAATACTAACTGAAAAAACTGTGATTTGTATTGTAACATGACTATGGTTGTCTAAAATGGAAAAGAAAACCAGACTACAGATAAGTCACTAAGAATGACAGGGTTAGCTGTGTCTGGTGGCAGAACTGCGGGTAGTTTCCCCCACACTCCCGCAGCGTGGTTTCATGGTTTCAGAGCGCACACCTGTGCGCACACAGATACCTGCTAACGACACACATAAAGCCCTCTGGCAAAGTGGCCCTTCCTCTCACTGCCCTTGTGAGCCCTGCAGACTGTTCAGTGTCATCTAACAGTCACACCCTAAGTCCCACTGCTTTCTGAAAAGTGCAAGCAAACCTGCGTCAACTTGAGGGGCTGGATGTCCACCCATCACTGGAAGGGAGAGAAGAGTGCCAAAGACAGGATGAGCAGGACCAGGGACCTGGGGGCTAACAGGCCGCGGCTGGGAACAGCCCTCTGAGAGGGGCTGGGAAGGACGGGAGTGCCCACCTGGGGAGAAACGGGGCTGGGATCCAGCCTGAGCACAGGCTCGTCCCTGGGGACAAGGGACACGAAGCCGGCCAGCCTGCTCTCGTGGCGGGATGGAAAAAGACAGTGTGCTTTTTCCTTTCAAATTTTCTGTGTTCAAGCTTTTCTCCTTTTCTCATTCAAGGTGTACACTAGGCATTCTCCTCAAATCTCACAAGTTAGAGCACACAGCTCTCACTACAATGTGTAATTTCACTGAACCACCATTTTAGTAATTGGATCAATACCTAATTTAAAAACTAAAACCGTAGCATAGCTGAGGGAAGAGGGAGGAGACCTGTGCAGCAGAGACAGGACAAAGCCCCCCATGGTATCAGCCCAGCAGGCGTCCTGAGAGGCCGGTCACAGACGCTGTCCGGGCGACCACTGACCCAGCAGCCACACAGGACAGGAATACACTCCCTGAACTTCACTGCCACAGCCTGGGGGCCGCCTCCACGGCCAAGCGCCTCCAAGGGATTCCCAAGAGCTGACTGCCGAGTTGGCGCTGAGCAAACAAGACACCTATAGACAATGGCTTTAAGTCCCAGAAATGAGTCACTCTTCTGAAACATTCTCCTTCTCTACCCTGAAGTCCTCTGGGAAAAAACTGGGTGGTTGGTAGTTTTCTGCCAAATACGTCTGTTACTTGATTTTAATGTATCTTTATTAAATAGCTTAATTCTATGTGCCCAAAGAAACCAATTCAAAAATCACCAAAACTATGCTAAAGGAAATCAGAGTAAAAAGGGTATTATTTATAACAGGGGAAAACTGAAAAATCACTTCCAGCAAAACACCTTCTGCTCTCAAGTTCTACGTAACAGAACTCAGCACTTTCATAAGGTGAAGAGAGTAACTTGTAAGATGCTTCCTCTTTTAAAATTTTATCACTGAAATCTAGTTTCCATCAAAAAATCGAAAACCTTTATTCCTGAAGACTCAGCTGGATAATGATGCTCCTAAAACGTCAACTCACTGTCTCCCTCCACTTCGTCGGCTGCGTCGACAGGAGTGAGTTTTAAAACACTGCTTCTTTCACCTGCTGTTAAAAACTGCACACTTGCTACGACGCTGCGGCAGCCGGTCCTCTTTCCTGCACCTTTTAGGTCATGTTACATTTAAGAACTGCAGTTTATTTTTCCTTCCATTTTTTTTTTATCATTTAGTTACCCTGCGGTATTTGATGTGTTAGTTCCCCAAAAACAGATACAAACAAAGCAGTACATGATCCAGAAAACTTAAAGCTGGTAAGAGACATTTCTAATGTAGGAAAGACAGGAAACGAATCCATATTCCATTTTAATGGTTAGTGATGTGGCCCCTGAATTTAGGGGCCTGAGGAACTCGCTTCTTTACGTATTGAGGTGAACGTTTCATCCAGCACTGGTGTGTACGGGACACAACCAGCCATACTGACAAAAGTATGACAAAGTTCACAGAGCACTGCTGAGCCAGACTCAACGGGAAGGGCTGTGTGGCCAGGACCCAGCCCCCGTCCCAGAGCAGGGAGTCCAGTCAGGGTGCAGGGCGGGCAGGCCGCCCCCAGCCCACTGGGCAGTCAGCCGGGCTCAGGCTGACCTTGGCACAGCCACTGAGTCCTGAGCACGGGGCACAGTGGCTCCCACCAATGCCCGGCAGCTTCCTAGGGCGGGAACCATGATCCAGCCGCCGCCTGCCTGGCTGGAAGGTGGCCGGAGAGGAGAAACACAGGCAGCCTGAATCAGGACAGTGGCCAGGGGACCCGAAGACACGGCCGAGTCGTCAGGGCTGGGAGAGTAGAGATCCCTCACGTGGGAGACCCTCCGGCCTTTGCTCTGAGTGCCTGAATGTTGGTATCAATCACTAGTCCTGGAAGCGCATCAAAGTAACAAAGTAACAGCTCTGCTCTCCACATGCAGTCTAAGGTACCAGCAGGCATCTCCGTGGAAATACTCGGGGCCCAGCTGGACCCACAGATCTGGAAGTCACTAACAGCAGCAGTGGCCACAGCACAGCACAGAAGCCAGCCCCGCCTGAGCGCCACCAGGAGCCCATGGTGCACAGCTTCTGTACGCGTGAGGCTCCACGATGTAAAAAGCAAAGAAACCAAGGGAGGATGGAGGCTGGAGAGGGGCGACCACCAAGGCCAAGCAAAGAGGGTGAGAGCAGATTTGTCACCACGAGGGCAGCTTCGGGGAGGGGCGCTCAAGTTGGAGGTGCAAGGTCTCTTCCTGGAGCTGGGCTGGGGACTGTGGCGTGTGTCCTGCATACGTGGTGCACACATGACAATGACAGCACAGAGCACAGGTGCAGGAGAACCACACCAGTGGTGCCCTAGCAGACGTTGCATGACTGGCCGGGGTAGGGGAGCAGCCCCTAATTTGTAGCATTTACCGATTTCCAAGGCGCAAATACCAGAGCTGAGCTCCTGCTATCAATGATGTGACATCAAGAGGCTACAAAAACTCCTGAGCTTTGACAATTGCTCCCAGGGGTCAGGACATCGCCCAACAGCACAGCTGCAAAACTGCTGCATTCTACATGAAGCGGCTCACTGCCAACGCACAGCACAGCTTGAAAAGCTCCAGGTGTGCACTGTGATCCCTCTCTGTGAATCTCAAAGGGGCTTCATGGAGGGAACCAAGCCCCACAGCCCCAGAGAAGCCATTAAGGCCGGATCAGCCCCACCCCTATGCTAGAACAAGATTCTCTTCAGGGACTGAGAGAAGAGCTGCTCAAATACCTCTGCGCTCTGTGTGGTTCAAATGAAAATCCTTGGCTGAGGAAGGCTGCAAGCAACCAGTTAAAAAACAGTAATAATAATGCACAAAGGTGTAGCAAAAAGCCAAAAAAACGACTTACTTTGAAATGCATCAAAAAATGCAATGTCTTGATGGATGGAGAGATGGGTGGACAAGGGACGAAGTAAAGTAAAACGAAACTGGAATCTAGGTGGCAGGTGTTCACTGGAAGATCCTCTGAACTTTACTGTACATTTCAAAGTCTTCATAATAAAAGGTTGAATACAGAGCAGTAGAGAAATGACAATTATCAGGGCTTCTCGATTCCAAGCGCACATTAGAATCCCCCGTGCAGCCCAAGAACGGTTATACACTAGTGGCAGGTTAGAATCTGGCTTCACTGTAATTCTTACCTTACTCGAATTCATGTTTTAATTCTTGGAGTTCAGTTTTATTTACCAAGTACAAGACTCTTGGGATCCAACCTTAACTGAATTATTAGCTTTCATCAAAATAATGCTGCATGACAAACAAAAAAACCTCAGTGGCACATGACACAAAGCATTTATTTAGGTTAAAAAAATCTGTTTTAATTTATCATATGGTAAATATAGATATAACCTATATAAACAAGAGCTGTTCACAATTTTTTAAGAATGCAAAGGAGTCTTGAGACCGAAAAGGTTCCAAACTGCTGGTAAACGATCTGCAGTTTAATTAAGTTGAATGAAACTCTGCTTCCTTCACTGTCTCACAGAAGGGTAATTTTAAAAAATAATTACTCAAAGCCCAAGAACAAAGTCACAGAACTCCTTCCATTCAGAATATTATTACAAGCAATTTCAACCTCACCCTGTGCATTATGAACGCTTCCCCAAGTTTCAGGAGGGGCAGGGCCTGGGTGACGCAGCGCTCTCCCAGAGCTCGACGGGCAGCGTGACTCGAGGCTCCAGAGGGAACACACGGTCAGTCACCTGCCACTGGAGCCGGACGCTGGGGCTGCTGTACTGTTCCCCCTACTCCTGCACCTGAACACCTTCGCGATCAACCGTCCTGATCAAAAGGCCATGCCTTCACTTCCCAATGTGTGCTTTCCAGCACCCACCCCGACCTCCCTTTTCTGTTCTCCTCCGCCTAACACAAGCGGCTGAGAGTGTCAGCTCGGGGCTGGGGTCCCAGCTTGTCTCAGGAATGTTGCTCATCTGTGACTCGGCTCTCCTGCGTGTGGAGTGGGGCTCGTTGTTAGAGGGATCGGGTGTAACTAAGCCCCACGGGGTCCTCGGGAAGACCAGGCAGGCTAACTCATGAGCTCGGAACTCTGCATGGCAGGGGCAGTCGGGTTTCAGACTGTCCTCACTGCTGTCCCGTGAGCTTTCACACTGAAGAAATACAGAAGTGTGACTCTTTGTAAGTTAAACTGTGTCACTGAAGACGTCCAAGAAGCAGAGAAAATCCAAAACAGAAGTAGGATACAGGAAAGACATCAAGGAAACTGTAATGACAGGGTGGCTTCAGACTTTCAGGAGAGCAGCAACCTAGGCCCAGCAAAGTGCTGGGGGAAACGTGACCAACAAACCGAGCTAACTTGCGTGTCAAATTCTGGGCAGAGGAGCCAAGGTGCTACGACCACCGCATGGAGATTACTGCAGACAAGGAACCACGTTTGGTTCACGATGTTTTTAGGTAGACCGATGTCTGAGAACAGAGAACGAGGGCCCCACTGCCGACCCGCCTTCCTGCTCTCTCGGCCCAGCACAGCACACAGGCTAGAGAGGAAGGACAGAGGAACAGCCACATAATTTGTAATTCCATTAAAAAACAGGAACGAGGGGTCATGGTAACTGGTCAGAGGAAGCAGCGCTGGCAAGGAAGAGGCCAGCCCTCAAGACAGGGAGGGCACAGGACACAGCTTCCATGGGGGACGGTGGGGATAAAGGAAGCAAGGCCCCACCCGGAAGCACGTCTCCCTGGTGACTCAGAGAAGGACCTGGACCCTCTCCTGAGGGACAACACCCACCCCAGGAGCTGCAGCCCTGCCGGACTTCAGAATGACCGTCCCTCTGGCGGACCATGATGGAGGAGCTAACTGTGCGCCCCCAGGGCTGCAGGGACAGTGGATGGTCTCACACCCCATCATCTGTGTATACACACCTCGGGTGCAGCCTGAGGTCACGGACGCCGACCTCAGTCGGGGGAGTCGGCATCTGTGCCCGAGACTAGAGGCGACGGGCCAGAAGGACTTGGCTCTTGACGAGGTGGCTCAGTCCAGAAGAGACCAGGACCAGCCCACACGCCCTGGCCCTCCCCTTCCCTGCAGTCTTGGGGTTCACACGCGACCCCCGCTCTCCTCCTGGCGAGGCTCCCTCAGGCCACACAGCTCACCAGCTGCACAAAGTCAGATGCGCAAGAACTAAGGAGGATCAGCCTCCTCCCAGACCCGCCCTGTTGTCCAGAGCTGCATGTCCAAACGGCAGCCACTGTCCACACTGAGCTGCGTAACTGCAATGAAATGAAATGGAAATTTCAGGTCCTCAGTCGCATGAGCCACATTTCAAGCGCTCAGAGGCACGTGTGGCTGGTGGTGACTGGGCGAGTGAAGAGAGAGGACACACCATTCCCGTAGAAAGTTCCACAGGTAGCGCTGCTCTAGAACTTAGGACTTACTCTGGTGTGGGGTGCGGAGAGGGCACAACAACTTTCATTTTTCCCCCCTTAACCAACACCAATATGTGAAATTTTTACAGCCAAGATACATTCAGGTATAACCTGTAGAATTTACACAAATAATAGACTCTACTAAGACTAGCATTTTCAAAAGATCTGAAATCATTTAACCAAACATCATCACAAAAGCCTCCTTTCTGCACCGACGCGTCTTCCCTCTGAGCCCGGACAGACAGGCTCACCTCTGGAGTGTTTTCCTCCGGGCCTCTTGGGCAGCGACTCCTCAGTGGAATGTGCGGATGTGTGCAGGGCGTTCTCCAAACTATTACTGACGCTGCTGACGGGGGTCTCTGTCCGTGGAGTGACCTGAGGGGACAGAAACAGAATCATCTTATTCCCTTCCAACTAGTTCATAAGGAATGGTTTTCGTTTTTATTTAAAAGTCATTTATGTTTATTGCAGTTCCTAATTTGTTCATAAAACATGTATTACTAGTGTAATAATAAAAAAAGTGATCTTTTGTCCTACGAAAGACAAAAAGTTTACCAATCCACCATCTACCACTGAAATTGAAAAACATCCCAGTTTGAGCAAACATGGGCGCTCATGTCCAGTGCCGGGACCCACTCTTCTGGGTTGAAACTGACAACCAAGCTGTCATGAATTATATTCCTACGTTCAAGGCAGAACTTTATTTTTCATTTCTTCAAATCATATAGTTTCCTATATAATCAACTACACAGCAAGACTTAACACTGTCTTTTTAAAATCTTAAAAAAAAATAAAACTCTATAAAAACAGCAATAAAGAATAGAATACAACTAGATCTATTTGGGGGTACATTTAAAAAAGCATGTTCTAAAATTACATCACAATCCCATTTCTAGGAATCCATCATACAAAGCACTTAGACGTGAAAAAGGTGTGTGTGGAGGGGCGCTCGCTGCAGCATTTACAACGGCGAGAAGCTGAAAACATCCTAAATGGCCACCGATGAGACCCGACAAGCCAAGGGCTGTCTGCCCACAGCCCCATACTCTGCGCCGGCAAAGAAGGCTCAGAGCACACCGCGTTCCCAAAGCAAGTCGGGGGTGTCGTCCTCTCCTCCCCTCCCCTGCCTTGGGTATAAGGTGAACGTGACTGTGTGCAAAGAAACAGTAAGGGCCCGGAAGGATGCCGCAAAGCCTCAACCACAGTGACCTCAGGAGACAGGCAGTTTTCTTGGGGGTGGCGGCAATAACCTTCTCTTTTTTTCCCCTTTAATAATGACCAGTATTCGAAAATTTTACCAATCTGAAAAATGATTCAACATCTTCAGAGTCACAATTTAATGTATGTCAACATTTCAAAGGGTAGCAGAGGAAAGTTAAGACTTTAAAGTTTATCAAAAGAGACATGGGTTTTAAAAAGTGGAGAAACCCTGTGCTGCACACCCAGGAAAGGAGAAGGCTTGGGAAAAAGAGAAGCGTGACTTTCAGTCTCACCGCAGATACGGAGGCGACCTGGGACAGGTGTGTCCTGAGGCTCTCTGGCCATCGTGTCCTTGGTTTACCTTATCACCTGGATGCCAGGTGGGAGCAAGCGCAGACCCTCACCTGCCGTGGGAGGCCTGGCCTGGGTCCCCAGGCAGGGGCAGAGAGGGTGAGGGGCTGGCAGAGGTGGCACCACTCCCACAGGGTGGACCTGGACTGGCCTCCTGGAGGAGCCAGGACACCCAGCCCTCCGCAGACAGAGCTGCAGTGAGATCTCCCACCACACACAAGCCCCTCTGCTCCCACCTCTGTCACAGCCTCTGGAGCAGGGACGCCTCCCTGCTGTGCACTCAGCACGAGACGATGGGTCTGATGCCACGCAGGTTCAGTAACTCAACACTGGTTCAGTCTGATTAACGTGGAAGTTTATATAACTCCAGGAGGTAAACCCTGACCACCCAGTACTCCTCCAAAGTGTCAATTCTGGTAACACTTACTAAAATGTTACCAAGACGGTTAAAATTTTAAATTACTTGTAATTTAACCACATTGGATTGTTTCCCTCAGGTCTGGAAAGTCTCCTTCACCATCCGATCGTCAAGAGCACCCCAGCAGCAAACTTCCCTATTAGGTGAGCCAGCAGCACCCACAGGCACAGGAGCCACTCGGGGAGCGAGATCCAGCTCCCACACAGTAAGCACCACTCTGGGAGACAGCTCAGGAGGCGGAACTAACACCTTTAACTACATAACAAACACAACCGAGGCAGATCACAGCCCACCGGGCCCGGCTCACCCGGACCTCCACGGTCCCTCAGCTACGAGGAAGGTGATGCCAAGTCGTGCTCCTAAGGAGAGACAGGGAGAGAGGCCCAGTCACCTGAAAACCAACAAGGGGAGCACCGGCCCTGCCGGCCAGCGGTGAGCCTCTCCTCCCCAAGCAGACAGACACACAGACACAGACACACAGACTGCGGCCCGCCCGACAGCAGCCCCAGCAGCCACAAGCAGAAAGCCACCCCCCGGACCCCCAGGCCGCGGGGCGGGTGTGGGAGCGGACAGAAGGCCCCGAGGCCCGGAGGTCAGCGCTGTGGTTGGGGGAACGCAGCTCGCGGAGCAGGCAGAGGCCCGGCACCTGACGCAGACGCGGGGAAGAAGGCGCTTGAAACCCCGACCGCTGGGAGAGCACTTGTTCTCCTTGGGCCTTTCTCCCAACGCACTTCTTCTTAGTTTTCCAGATGTTCACTTTTTCCAACCAAGACTTTATCTTTACTTTGCTCCTTTGTTTACACTGAAAGCCGTCTTCACTTGCATTTCCCAGAAATGCTGTTTTCTGGGTTATTTTTGGTTATGTTAATTTGCCCCATGTGACCTAAACAGCTTCACTAAACACTGACTCACGCTCACAAGCAGGACCCCTCAGTCATCAGCTTGACAGACACCAGCATGAGGACCTGATCAGTTCCAAATGTCGCCTTCTGCTGCCACTAGGAAGGCAGTGAGAGCACTCTCCAACGACAGGGCCCAGCTCCACCTTGACGGCTGTGTTCCATTATGTTCGAAGGCCTTCTTCCTGCAAGCACCCTGCTCTATCTCTACATGAGGGTCCAACGTGCCCTGCCGAGCGAATCTCTCTCCACTCACAGCCGCCTCTCCTACGACCTACAAGGGCCGGGCTGCCCTCAGGTCTCGGAGGTCCCCCACTTCTCCCCTCTGCCCCACCAGGGATGGGGTGGATGGCCAGGATTCGCCTGCTGGCCTTTGCCCTGGCTGTGCCCTCAGCCTGGAACCCACAACTCCATCTCTGCACAGCCCCTCCCTGCCTGCATGTCTACACTCGAATGTCACCTTCTTGTGAGGACTTGCGGAAGCTCGGCAAGGCGGGGCTGTCTGCTCCGCTCACTGCCGCATCCTCTGCGCTTCCCACAGGGCCTGGCACAAAACAGGCACTTAGTGAGTATCTGTGAGATCTGACTGCCTCACAAATTTTAATGAAATTCAGGATTAATTTTTTAAAAAGTGTGTCTACTTCAAAGTAACATTTCTGCAGTCTAAATTATGTACTACACATTTACTGAGCATCCTTCCCGATGAAACAAGGGACTGAAAAGCTACGGCCGTGCGTGGAATCTGGCTGAAGCACGCTGTGTTGCTCCCAGGACAGTGACTCGGGCTGGCATCTGCTGCACACCGAGGGGAAAGGTGATGGTTAGAGTCCCGGCACCTGACTCAGCAGCTCACGCCTGGCTCTCTGTCCATCGGGACAGCTGTTTAAACACAGACCAGGCCTTTGCTCCCAAATTTAATACACAAAACACCCCCAGGGCACACCAAAACGCAGTCCTGACTCAGGAGGCCTGGGGCGGGGCCTGAGACTCTGCATTTCTAACCAGCTCCCGGGGTTTCAAGAGTGTTTCCAGATACAGGTGCTCACCATGGTCAGAGAATTCAAAGCAACAGCCTCCTTCCCTGTGGGATGTGAAGAGGAAGCCCACTGCTGTGCGGACAGTCCCGTCAGAGGGACTCAAAGGCCCCTCCTTCCAGGGGCCTCCTGCTCACGCCCACCTCAGTCAGGACATCGGGCCAGAGAGTCCTCCTGTCACACAGGCTGCTTTCAAGCTTTGGGTCTAAAACTCACCTTAATATTCAAAGAACAGAGCTATAATTTTCAGAAGAGACTTACTTTTTAAAACTCGATTTCACTATAGGTCATTTACGGTCATCCAAGTGGGATGATCACACCAGGTAAGCCCCTGGGGGGTCTGAGTTGCCGAAAGTCTCACTTCCGGCCCCTAACAGGCACTTGAAATGGTTCAGAAAATGGTACTATGCACCCGGGGCAGAGGTTTAACTTTCTTTGTGCAAACCCCTTCTCAAAACAAATAACCCCTTTTGTGGTGTGTGGTGAAGCCTACCAATCCCTTCTCAGAAATACATATTAAGCGTATAAAAACATACAGGATTCCAAAGAAAGCTAGTAACACTGAAAACGGTTCTCAAAGTCTTAGAAGACAAAGGAGATTCTTTCACATTCTGTAACCGAGCGTCACATGATCTGAGGCAGTGGTGAGCATAAGCGGTATTTGCAGTGGTGAGCATAAGCGGTATTTACAGTGCCTCGTCCACTGCGACATGGAAACACTTGGTCTCCACTAGAGACAAGGTCACATGCACCAGAAGTCCCAAAGGGGTCTCTTACCTGCTTTTGTCCTGGGGGCAGGTGCTACACTTCCAGGCTCTTCCCCACGTCTCCCAACGGTGTGGGGACGGAGCAGCCCCAGGCAGCAAGGCAGGGCTGGCAGACCACACCCCCACCCAAGCCGTCAAGGCGGAGGGCACCTGAGGCTAGGGTGTGTGCCAGCCTCTCTCCCTCCCAGACCAGAGTGCTGGGGACCCCACATCAGGAGCACCCCCCCATCCTGTACTTGAATAGTACTCCGACAGAAAGACAACATCTGGCTTCCCCTCGTGCATGCGGGCTGAAGTTCCAAATTCTGCCACATCTACACTTGACAATTCAAGATGGCGTCTGCACAGGGTTTCCACGACCATGATGTGTGTAACAGCAAAAGACTGGGAATAACTAATGGCTGTTATTCTGGGGCTGGTTAAATAAAAGGATGCAGCTACTCTTTGGAATACTAGGCAGCTGTAAACCAAAGTAGGTGTGAGAAGGCTAGGTTCTGACATGAAAAAACTATTAAAATAGGAGTTTAACAGGCAAGGTGCACGCTGGACGTCTGAGATGTGATCACACTATGAGAGGATGGGAAGGATAAAATCATGAAAATACTACTGTTAGAACCACACTCTGGGGGCTCTTGCACCCACATTACTCTCAGGGACCCTGGCAGAAACTGCTGTCTCCACTCTAACACCAACAAAGTCTCGTGCT